ACCAAACTAATCTATATTAATGGAAATAATCAAGAACAAGAGTTGAGAGAAGAGTTAAGAGAGAGAAAAGATCCTAAGTAGATAGAGAAAGTCTAAGAAAGAAGGAAGAGTAAAAAGAAGGTCAAGAAGTTCTAAATTCGTTTTACGGAGAAGTATTTATACTCCGTAAGAATCCTAAACTAAAACAAACTTAAACGACGCTAATCGTCCCCTAACAATAACACGCGCCCGATCGGGTGAGGCACCGCCCGATCGGGCGCGCCTTCTTCTTCGCGGCTCGGATTTCGATTGGGCTCGATTCCTCGGCCTAATCTAAGTTTCCTCATCGGGTCTTGATTAAACGATCCAATAGTCTCGGTGTCTCATGTCGAGCCCTTAATCATCGGCTCTCACCGATCCTGGGTTTCAAAAGTGGTCGTGTCTTTCTAGCTTCCGTAGTTGATCCATAAAGCCTGGGAAAATGCTCCAAGAGTGCAATTTCCTGTAAAATACAACTAAAACTACGAAAACACTAGAAAATACAAATTAGTAATAAAAGTGGCCCGAAAGAGCCAAAAACACTACTAATAACGACCAAGGGACGGGGGTAAAACACTATATAAAATGGATATATCAGAAACGCGTATCTTGCACTGTCGAGCACACGTCTGTGAAAGTAACTGATTTGCTGCTGCTTTCCTATTGTTTTGATGACCTCCTGCCAAGAGAATGTCATCCCGCTTGAAAACCTCTACGCTTGTAACTGCTTCCAATATTGAAGATTGCTTCGTTTGAAACGATCCTCTTCCGCTTTGATAATACTCCACATCCAAGGGAATACTATCGAAGATTGCTTCGCTTAAAACAATCCTCTTCCGCTTTGTGACCATCTTCCACGTCTAAGGGAACATGATTGAAGACAACTTCGCTTGAAATCACCTTCAGTTGTTTGTGACAACTCTCCACAATCTAGGGAATGTCGTCGAATATATCCTTGCGTGAAGCTATCCTCATTTGTTGCGATAAATTTCCAAGGAAATTACCGAAGATCTCCTCTTGTCGATCTTTAAAAGCTCGCTTGAACTTTGCTTCCGCTATGCCTGTACGTCGGCGCTTTTGTTGCTTCTGAACCAGTATGTCGGTGCCTTTTGCGAATGAACCAGTATGTCGGTGCCTTTTGTTAATGAGCCAATGCTTAGGCGCTTTAAGCTAAGTGAGATGATCTTTCATCAGATCGATCACTTTATGCAACCAAGCCGATTACCAAAAATCGTGTCAAATTGCTTAGAGGGGCTAACTGGCATACCAAGGAACCCAAAACATATTGCAAAAAACTAGAACAACCGCACTGAGTGGCTGAACATTTTGGCGCCGCTGAAATAACGTTAGCGCCACATAACTGGCCGTAGCGCCAGACGCTGGGATTAGCGTCAGGTGCCAAGCCTATCTGTTGACGCCAAGGTCTAGCGCTTGGCGCTAGAATAGGGTATTCCTTAAATACCCTTTTCTTCTTCATTTTCGCTGCTGCTCGTCGCGTTTTTGCTCGAATTTGTTGCAAATCAAAGCTTATTTCATCCATTTTCCCGATCTATGTAAGTTTTCTTCAAACTCACACCGGTTTTTATGAATTTTGCATGTGTTTATTCTCGAATTTCATGAAATTTCAAAACTTAGAATGCTTAATTCTCTTTTTTTTGTCAAATTTTATGCCATGAAATTGCTTGATTATGTTTATATATTGCCTTGGGAGTAATTTGAGACTTGTTTGACTCAATTTGGTGAAGAAATGAACGAATTGCCATTGTTGAACCTCTTGGGGTCGGGAATGCAATGTGGCTCGTTCTTGACGTTTTTGTTAGCAATTCTTGTCCAATTTGTCACAATAATTACTATAGTATTGCAAGAAATTGTTTGATTGCTTGAAAAATGCCGTGCATGCTCAATTTGAATTTGTGCTCTGTTTTAGTACTACGTACTCTGTTTTTTTTTGCGAACATAGTATCATGCAGCTAGGCGAACCTTAGATACTATAGAACCTTAATTTATGATAATTCTGCACAATGTAGCATGGCTAGACAGCGAGGTTCTGGTTCACGGTCCCGAGACGTTCGAAGGGAGCATGAGCCCGTGGAGGACGATGCCGAGCCGTCCACTTCGCTTGGTCGACTCCCTGAGTGGGATGAGAGGACCTTGTTCTTTTCCCCCGTCCACCACATTTCTAAGAGGGTGAGACGGGGTATCATCGTTGGGAGGACGCGATGTCATGGCTCTGGCTGTGACGATTTGGGCGATCTGTACAAGATGTACATCGCCAGAGATGTCGAGACGAAACTTCTACGAGAGTCTTGTGGTCTTACTGCGTTGTACGAGACCTCCGAGGCAATGGTTTCCTCCAGCGGGGGTCACCATGTAGTTCGTGCTCTGGTGGAGTTCTTTTGGGACACCACCAACACTTTCCACTTTCCACTTTCCTTGGTGTGAGATGATGGTCACTCCTACCGACTTCAGTCTCATCACAGGACTGGAGTTTAGCTCCGTGCCACTGCCGTTCGACAGTGGGATCAACGTCTTTTCTCCTGAGGTCGAGGAGCTGTTGGGGTGGATTATTATTCGGGCTCGAGCTGAGGTAGAGTCGTCTCAGTTCAGCGCTAGGGGGATTCGCCGCTCGACTCTAGCAGCGGCTTTTGACGATGGTGCGACCTCCCGGGAGCAGTGGGTGCGCATCTTTGCGCTTATTTTGTTGTCAGGGACGTTCTCCCCTGACAAGGGTAGTAGGGCGCTACTTTACTACCTTCCTGTCGTCCGCGATCTACATCGGATCGGGACTTATGACTGGGCCAGCTTGGCCGATGCTGACTTCATTCGAGCGCTGAGGGACTCGTGTCGACACCGGTCCTTTAGGACGAATGTTGCTCTGTCCAGCTTTTGAAGGGTCGTAGAGGTAAACATTATTCCCTATAAAGTTTAGCTCTACATTTTAACTAGCACTTGCTGATAATTTTAACTCCTTGTAGATCTGGTTCTACGAGTACTTCCCTTCTGCTGCACCGGCAAGACCGTCGCCGCGCAGGTTTCCAGTTAGTGCTTCCTGGGGCAGCCACCGTATGGGGATGTCCACTACGTATGTCCGAGATTGGATCATCGCGGTATGATTCTTTTCTTATTTGCCATTTTGCGATGCTTTAGATAGATTCTCGCCTGATTGACGCTCTTTGCAGGACCCTGAGGTGCTGTACCGGCCGTGGGTCGGCCTGGCAGTCCCTGGGTTAGCCGCGCAGTATTCCGCTGAGCGTCGCTAATTCTTGGGGACTTATGGAGCGATTGCATACCTTGGAGAGAGGGTTGCTAGACAACATTCCTCCGATATTTTTATCGTTCCTGCTCCTCCACCACGTCACATGTTTAACGTCGTGATGTGTCTATTTTATATAGTATTTTACCCTCGTCCCTTGGTCATAATTAGTAATGTTTTTGGCTCTATAGAGCCACTTTTATTAATAATTGGTGTTTTCTAGTATTTTCGTAGATTTGGTTGACTTTTGAAGGGATTTATACTTTTGGAGTATTTTCCCGAGATATTTTGGAGCAATCACGAACATTGGAGAAGCACAACCAGATTTTATAGCCCAGGGCCGGTCAGAGCCATCGAACCGGTGATTAAGGGCTCGGTATAGGTGATACCGGGGCATTTGAACCGAGTAATCAAGACCCAAAGAGGAAATCCAGATTGGCCCGAAGAATTGGAGCCCAATCGTAATCCAATTAGTGGCCCAAGAGAGTCGCCCGGCCAAAGAGGCTGGCGCCCGGAGGCGCGCCCGGCCGGGCGCGAGATTAGTACATCGAGCAAAAAGGCGCGCCCGATCGGGCGGTGCCTCGCCTGATCGGGCGCGTGTATTTATTAGGAGACGATTAGCGTCGTTTTAGTTTGTTTTAATTTAGGATTTGTACGGACACTACCACAAAATGTAGAATAAATAACGTATAATACACAACGGTGAAGTTGGAAATGCGATCTCTAGAAATATATAGAACGCCTATCTTAGAAGAACGTTTTGTAGGTTAAATTATATAGAGCACCTCTCTATGTTAACCGTTCTATATGTCACTAATAGATTTTTCTATTTTTTTTTAACATTACCATACTATGCCATGTCCTTGTTATACTTGCCATAATCTTAATTATCACAAAGTCGATGTTATACTTGCTCATTTGAGTAAATGGGAATCTGATCGAACATATACTTATTGGTATCTCCATGGAGAAAGTAGAGAAGGAACATCACCAATGGGAAAAAGAATGGATGACAGTCATATTGATTATGAAGGTGATAACTTAGAGGACATGATAGATGGGTTTGAGGAAAGGGTTGAGGATGATCCTGATGTGACCGTACAGGAATTAATTAGTGATTCTGAGAAGCCGTTATATCCAGGTTGTGATAAGTACACAAGATTGTCAAGTGTACTTAAGCTGTACAATTTAAAAGAAGGCCATGGTTGGACAGATACGAGTTTTAGCGCATTACTTGAGTTTTTGTATGATGTGCTTCCTCCTGACAATGTTTTGCCAAGTAGTACATATGAGGCAAAAAAAATATTGTGTACAATGGGCTTGCATTATGAAAAGATTCACGCATGTCCGAATGATTGCATACTTTTTCGAAAAAAATATGAATCTCTTGATAGTTGCATAGAATGTAAGGTCTCAAGGTACAAATTTGAAGGAATTCCAGCCAAGGTTTTATGGTATTTTCCCATTATCCCTAGGTTTAAAAGGATGTATTCAAATCCAGATGAAGCTAAGAAGTTGACATGGCATAAATTCGGGCGAAAGAATGTGGGTTACTTAGACATCCAGCCGATTCTCCTCAGTGGAGACTTGTCGTTGAGAAATGGAGTGATTTCGGTCAAGAAGAACGAAACCTACGCCTTGCAATGTCTACAGATGGTATGAATCCATACGGCTCTCTCAGTAGCCGCCATAGTACTTGGCCATTTACAACTTGCCCCCCTCCTTGTGCATGAAAAGAAAATACATTATACTCTCATTGATAATTCCTGGACCAACACAACCAGGAAATGATAGTTGTGTGTACTTAGCACCTCTTATTGATGATTTGTTATTGTTGTGGGGAAGTGGAGTTGAAGTGTTTGATGCTAATCGAAAGGAAACTTTTAATTTAAGAGCATTGTTGTTCTGCACAATACAAGATTTTCCTTCATATGGTAATCTTTCGGGGTATAGTGTAAAAGGAACAGCCCCTTGTCCTATATGTGAAGACAATTGGAAGGGAGAGTATATGAAAGGATCTCATAAGACAGTGTACTTTGACCATCGTCCATTTCTTCCATGTGATCACTGCTATCGTAGAATGAAAAAGGCTTTTAATGGGAAACAAGAGTTTAATTGCCAGCCACATGTCTCTACCGGCCTTGAAGTGTATGAAAGGGTAAAAGACATTCAAACTACGTTTGGCAAGTTGAAGAAAAATAGAAACGCCCTTCCCAAACAGGGTTATAAGAAGTGTTCAGAGTTTTGGCGCCTTTCATATTGGAAACATCTGTTTGTGCGACATTGTCTAGATGTGATGCACATTGAAAAAATTGTCTGTGATAGTTTGATAGGGACTTTACTAGATATTCCTGGAAAGACAAAAGATGGTAAAGGGGCTCGACTTGATTTGAAAAAAATGAAAATCAGAAATGAACTCCATGCTGTTAAGTCTGGAAATAGAAAATATCTGCCCCTTGCGGCCTATACACTTTCTAGGAAAGAAAAGGCAGAAGTTTGTGCATCTTTATCTGGGGTAAAAGTGCCTGAGGGCTTTTCTTCTAATATCTCTTCTCTAGTTTCAATGCAAAATCTGAAACTTGTGGGTCTTAAGTCTCATGACTGTCATGTTTTGATGCAATATCTTTTGCCTGTTGCTACTCGTTCCATTTTGCCAAAAAACGTGCGATATTCCATTATTAAATTATGTTCATTCTTTAATGCAATATACAGCAAAGTCTTCAGACCAAGCGATTTGGATTCTATGGAAACAGTTTTTGTTGTTATTTTGTGTCAGCTTGAGATGTATTTTCCACCCGCCTTTTTTGATATCATGGTTCATCTCCCTATTCATTTGGTGAGAGAGATTAAATATTGTGGTCCGGTGCATATGAGGAGTTCATGGCCTTTTGAAAGGCAAATGAAAACTTATAAAGATTATGTTAAGAATTTTTCTCGTCCAGAAGCTTGTATCGCGGAGAGAATGGTTTATGAATTAGCTATTGAATTTAGCATGGATCTTCTAGGAGATATGAAGACCATAGGGGTTCCTAAATCTCGACATTGTGGCCGACTTGATGGTAAAGGGACAATAGGTCGTAGAGATAGGGACTTGACTCGAGAGAAATGGCGTATGGCACACACATATATTCTTCATAATGAAGACGAAGTAGCTCCTTATGTTGAGCAACACATGTCTTTTTTAAGGAGGTTGATTCGAAAGGCTAATCTGAAAGCAATTGCTGCTGAGCATAATAAATCATTTGGTATTTGGTTAAAAAATGAGGTAATGAAAGAGCTTCAAGGTTCATCACATGCCATTTCGGATCGTCTAAAGAGTTTGGCATACGGACCAGATTTTTCAGCCACTTTTTACTCTGGTTATGTCATTAATGGCTGGACTTTTTATACCAAGGACCAAGATGAGAAGAGTACAATGCAAAATAGTGGGGTATCTTTAGAAACTGAAGCAATGCATTTTGCTAGTGCGAAAGACACTCGTCCTGTTTTGTGTAAAATGCAATATTATGGGGTAATTGAAGACATATGTGAGTTGCATTACTCTGATTTTTCGCTACCTGTTTTTTGTTGCAAATGGGCTGATAGCAATAACGTTACATATGATGACATGGGGCATACTTTAGTGAACTTTGATAGAATTGGTCATAAGGAAGATCCTTATATTTTTGCTAGCCAAGAAAAACAAGTCTTTTACATGACTGGCCCATCAGATAAGAGGAGGTCTGTTGTTATAACACCAAGAACTCGATATTCCATTGATGAACATGAAGATAATGCTTTGTTTGAGGAAAGGTCTGGGTTGAATGACATCCAAGTTATGGAAGACGTTGATGATACATCAACCTATATTCGAAATGACCATGAAGAAGGAATTTGGGTCGAAAACAAAGATGATACTTGTAAAAGACCTCAAAAGCGTCAAAAAAGAATAGTAAAAAGGCAGCAAACAATGCTACAAACATAGTGGCAACATAACTTCTTTTGTAATAACCTTAACCCTTCACCCTTCTTAATTTGCAATTAGGTTCTGATTGCTGCATAAAATGATGCATTGGAACTTCGTGTATATCTTTTTTATTGCTTGCATTTTTTGTTTATATTTCTTTATTGTATATTTAGAACCTTTCTTTTCTGCTGGTTGTAAATTCTATTAAACTTAATAGTGTGCTTATTTTAATTTTTGCAGAAAGGTTTCACTGTTCCTGAAGATCGTAAAGGATATGTGATAAAACAAGCATCAAAGAGGTGGAGAGCATTCAAGGCTAGATTAAGAAAAGATTTTATGTAAGAGTGTGACGAGGAGGGAAATGCTACAGATGTCATTATCTGGACACCACCGAGTTTGTATCCATGGATAACCGTAGATGATTGGAAAAAGTTCGTTGAAACAAGTATTGATAATAAGTTTAAGGTAATCTTATATTCGTCACATAAATATTATGAAGTCATATAAGAATTAGCTAAGCTATTTACTAACATTATGTATATCGTACTGAAGGAATTGAGTGAACTGAATCGAGAAAGGGCTAAAAAGAGGAAGACTTCTTATCGTGGGGGTCGAAAAGGGTACTCTTATTATGAGGACGAGATTGTAAGTTTACAATACTCCATGCTTCTCGAACAATAAATACTATACAAATAAGACTATGACTTGTCAACTGTGTACTTTTTTCAGGCTAAGGAATTGCAGAATCAAGGAATTCAAGTTGTAGATGTACCTCGGCATTTGGTTTGGATTAGAGCTCATTCTAGAGAAGAGGGAGGAGTTCTAAAATTTGACAATCTGGCAAATTTGGAAATAGCTCAAGCAATTGTAAGATTATGTATCCATATATATGTTGCATAGTCATAGACCTCAAACTGATAGTATCTTTAATCATTCTAACACAACCAGGCTAATATCTATAAATTTCAGAAAGAATTAGAGGCTCAATAATAATCAAGGAGAAATTGATGCATCAGGGCGCAATAATATATTGGCAAGAGCATTAAACACTCCTGAACATGGTGGTTGTGTGAGGGCCGTAGGAGGTGTCACAAACAAGGAGTATTTCGGGTACAAGAAGCCTACACCCGCTAACCAAGTGCAATCAGAGCTCAAGCAAGTCAAAACAAAGTTAGAAAATGTGACAAACAATCAAAATTTTCCGATGTCTTTTATTATGTCTAATTTTCAATTGACTCCGAAACAATTCCAACAAATTCAACTTGGTAGTTCAAGTGCCCAATTTGGGGGATTTGGTGTCAACCATGATGTGTACAGTGCTACATTTGGTGAATTACTTAGCAGCCATGGTTTAGATGGATCAGGTGATAGGCAAATAATTGGTGAATTGGGTAAGAACCAATCACACCTTCTACTCATTCTATACTATCACAATCATCATCCACCAAGTATGTGATCACTCCTGAGGAGAAATTGAAGTTGACCACCAGTTTGGTGCGCTTTGTAGGAAGTTAGCTATTGAAATGAAAAAGAGTGAAAAAACCATACCTATCAAAGTCCCGAAGAATGTGTTTTATAATGAGCAGGAAATTACCATTGATTATGAAGATATGCGTGATTGGTGCTTTCAAAGAAAGATAGGAACAAGTCGCATGACAACTTTTATGATGTAAGTGTGGTGATAATATAAATGGTGAATTTCACTTTACTTAGTTGATTTTTTTTTACTGTTCTAATTGATTTTTTTGTTTTTGTTTTTGTTATTATTATTATTATTATTATTATTATTATTTTGAAAGGCACTTGAGTGAAATGGTTCATTCACTAGGTATCTCAGGAATCTATGCATTTTGTGATTCTAATTTCATATCCCCTGAAACTCCAACGCAAGAAAATGAAAATGATCGATGTGACTATTTGGTTAGAGTCTTTGCTCGCAATAATGCACAAAATTGAAACCAAATATTCTTTGCTCCATACACTGATAAGTAAGTAATTTGTTTAATGTGCTTATTATGTTATCATGATTTTATGACTCTTATGATTTCATGTTATTCAACTAACTTTATGTGTAGCATGCACTGGATGTTGGCGGTGATTTGTCCACGGGTTGGATTAGTACATTGTCTAGATCCAGCAGGAGCAGAATTTCAACCTCATCAATTTGCTCAAGATATCATCAATAAGTATATGCATGAGCTTTTAATTGTTATATTGTAATCTTATTAGGTTATTAGTTCTGATATTAGAAGGAAAAAAAAAAAAAAAAAAAAAAAAAAAAAAACTAAACCAGTCCTTATGGCAATACAGGGCAATTTTGAGATTTAACTTGGAGTACCGAGCAGAAATTAAGTGGAATAAGAATTCAGCCATTAAATGGAAACAAGTAGAGGTAATTGATCTTTACTTTATCTTTTGGGTTCACTTATCTATGTATTGTGATTACAATTTATAAGTATAATTGTATAACTCAAATTTATTATTGTAATAGTGCCCTCGTCAAGATTTCGACTTCGATTGTGGATATTATGTTTGTCGTTACATGATAGAGACAATTCAATCTAGAAAGTCATATGTACCAGACAAGGTATTACTCTTCCTTAATTGTATGCAGAGGTGAGCTTTAGGTCTTGCAAATTTAGACAACCTACTGGTAGTTTCTAGCAATTTAATGTGATTTTTTTCAAGGTTTAACCGGTAATTTCTTGTTCATTTTCCTGTTTTATTTTCAACTACTATAATTCTTATCTCATTATGTAAAATCATAGAGCATTCTTCTTGTGAATTCATTAAGGACCTACATTATATTGCTTATTATATATGTTATGAAGATCTACATTTGTATTGGTTACCTAAATAATATTGGTTTGCTGCTATATTAAGAATCTTTACTCTATATAAGAGTGTAACAAAGCTATATTTAGCTCACTTTTCTATATAATCTTGACTGGAAAACTATTACCCAGAAAACTATCACTTGACTGCTTGATTGAAGGATTTTTGGCAATCAAGCAGAATATTCAGAGTACAAACTATCACCCAGAAAACTATCACTTCACTGGATATGCAATCTTTGATTCACAATTTCTACAGGATTCACAATCAGTTAAATTTAACAAAACTAACAGTTTTCAACAAGTTCTATAGCTTTCCTTTTAATTCAGAGTACAATAATCTATGCTACAACTCATATTTTCTATGAAGCTTATTAGGTACCAAGTTATAAGTCTGCTAGACTAATAAAAGTGTATACCCATTACCCAGTTGGACAGTTAGCCCACCTACTTGCCTATCTAACTGCTAACGCATTATGCTTAAAGCAGAAAGAAATGAAGCAGCCTGATAACACTTGAGCCAGGCACTACAAGCTTGACTAAGACAAACCCAAACAGATGCAATGATTTCAGAGCTTTTTTCTCCCAAAATTTTTTTCTTTGCTTGTTTACCAGACAAGGAAGGGGCTAGAGGGCAGAGGGGAGGGTGGATATTTTTCATCTACTTAGAATCCTAATAAAAACTCTAGATCACCACCAAACAAAACCCCTCACCTATCAAGCAAGAAGATGATAGCCTACAATAGAGCCAATGCTTTTGACATGACTCTGGCAAAACTTATGAACTAAAAGTTAGCAAAAACACAGTATATTACCCTTTATGAGGTGTGTGAAGTGGCTGATACAAAGCAACAACATGCAACAAAAACCCAACTCATAAAATTTAATGAAGTGGCTCCCACCAAGGTTTCCATCAGTCCATAGGCTTCACCAAGGGCAATAAATATATCAACCCATTTCAGCTTATATAGCTTATAATACAGTCCTTATAACAAACATTATGCACGGAAGCAACCAAGACTCCTAATCGTGACTTTATACATTGTGTCCTAGCAATGTGTATAAATGTAAGGATAATATTACTGAAGAAGCCTCCTAATTTTTCTCTGGTTGTTCCAGTTCCTAAGGATAATATAAGTATCTGTTATAATCTGATGGTTTTATAGGGTAGAAATCAGGACTACCACTATATATCTCATTTATATATATATATATATATATATATATATATATATATATATATATATATATATATATATATATATATATATATATATATTGTACATGTAGTATTTTGACAAAGCTCCTGTCAAATATTCTCAACAAATGATCGACGAGATTCGAGACATGTGGATCTTATTTGTTACAAGACATCAACCAGCCGAGGAGGACGATGATGATCAGCGTGAGTTGTAAGTGGGCAGTACATATTATGTACCTTGGATATCTTGTATATATTTTGGAATATATTTTGGATATCTTGTATATGTGTTAATTAGATTTGGAATGGAACTAGAATGGACTTTTTTAACAAACTAGAATGAAACTTTTGACCATGTAAATATTTCTGATGAATGAATTTTTTTTTTTTGGGAAAGTTGTGCAGTTGTATTTATTCTATAAGAAGCAGGTTGTAATTGTTTTTAAACATAGCAGGTTGTATTTTATTTTTATGCAAAGCAGGTTTATGCAAAGCAGGGTGTATACAGGGCAATATTGCATTTAAAAAATTACCCAAAAATGGGAAACCAATTTTATTATATTCATTATTTTTTTTTAATTTAAAAAAACAAAAAGATCGATGCCCTATTTCGTAAACAAAAATAAATCAATAATCATTTTTAATTAAAAAATGAGAAAAAGCTAGAGAACGCCTATCTAAGATAGGCGTTTTTTTTATTAATATATATAGCGCCTATTACTAGTTAACCGTTTTGTTTTCCTTGTTTTTATTCCTTTTTGACACAAAATAGAGAGCTGTTATCTTATACAGGCGCTCTATATTGTGTTTGATATAGAACACCTGAAAGACGCGCTCTATAAATGTTATAGGGCACCCCCTCAGAAGAGCGCCTCACAGGCGCTCTCTATTCCCTATTTTAGGCGTTCTCTAATCCTTATTTTGTGGTAGTGGGAGTATAAATACTCCTCCGTAATACGATTTTACTCTCTCTCTTTCTTTTTACTCTTTCTTTACTCTCTTAATTGTTTTCTTAGATTCACTCTCTTAAACCTTTGTTCTTAATCCATTCTTAATTCCATATTTATTTGGTAACTATTTCTCTTCTCTTAATCTTAGTTGTTTATTTTATTCCTTTAATTATGTCTTGCTTTATTGCTTTGATTAGGTTAGTTTTTACCATGTGTGAGTAGTTTTATTTCTAGGGTTTATTGGGATCCTTAAATAATATGAAGAGGTAATTTATTGTTGTTAATTATCAATGCTAGATTAATTTCCTATTGGTTGTTTTAATGCTCTGTGACTAGATTAGGCCCGATCTTTTATGCATGAGTTTGACAATATTGATTCGAGATTCGACAGATGAGAATTGATGTTTAGGTCTAGTTTCAATAGGCAGATTAATTTATAAATGGTTAAGTCGAGATTCGAGAGATGAGATTTAATACCGGTAGATTAACTCTGTGATTGTAATACATAGCGAAAGCCCTTTACGATCTGGTTAATTGATGCATTGATGATTGACTATTATTGATTTTTGATATTGCATGATAATTTCTTATTGAATTGTTTTAACGCTTTACAATTATGGCTTGTAAAAGTATAGCAATATTGAATTGATGAATCGAGTAGATGTTAATTTGATATTAAAAGCTATATTCAATAGGAACTTAGATCTAGTAAATTGCTAGAGCCTGTTATATCTATGTTGATTAATAAATTGCGAGAGCCTGTTAATCATGTTATTTATGCAATGTCAATGTTTGATTATTATGTTTTACCCTGGAGTATTATTTATTGGTGAACCTATGCCCTAGATCTTTTTATATATTATTTTCTCCTTATTCTTGATCTCCGTAGTTTAGTTTATTATTCAAATATAAATATTGGTTACTTCATAATCTAGATTATATTAGTTAATTAGGAATAGAAAGACTCGTTTCTTTGTGGATTCGACCCTACTTCCCTTTTTACTTTAGTTAGAGGACTTAGGTATTTATTTTTGATTAGGGGATACGACTCTACCCTGTCACGTTGCGAGGTTGTTGAGCATGTCAGAGGGAGCTGGTACCCCTTGGCGATCTTACACGATCCCTGGGCGATGCTATGCGGAGGAGCAACTGCAGTTGTTAGCTCCAGTTCCTGTACTGGCTGAGGATGTGGCGGTACGATTTTTCAGCTTTTATCTTTCGTTAAGTAGCCCCCAAGTAATGCTTTACTGACTTTGTTTTGCTTTATCAGGACGATGCTGCTGAGTTCGTGCCACCCCGTATGTCTATCCATTACCAGGGGACATACGGGCCGATTGAGGAGATGATTCCTCCGGCTCTTGAGGACGAGCGCTTCGTGGAGCGGTCGATTCCTCGCCACTAGACTTGGGTAAGCTTATTTATTTGCAACTTTTGTCCATATATATTATGCATGTTTACTAACTCATTTCTTTAATAGTTCTCGCGCGAGGTGGTTTCGGCGATGACACGATGTATAGATGCCTTCCGGAGCCAGCTTGTCCGGATGAGGAACGTGGCTACTTGCCGTCGGGACAACGTCGTTTAGGAGGTAGTCTTTCTTTCATATGTTTTTGCACTACCGCTTCGATTTTTCCTTGTTTATGATTTTAATTCCTTTTGCAGGGTCAGCCCATTCCTTCTCGTACCCGCACGAGACCCGAGGTGCGGAGGGATCCGGCGGGGTCTAGCTCGAGACGTCGCCGCACTACTTCGGGAGGTAGGGGTGGTCGTTCTGAGGCTGCTCGGGTAGAGGGCTCAGGTTCTTCCTCTGAGGGTGCACATGCTGCGCCATTAGGCCAGGGATAGGCTACCTCGGCTCTTAGAGGTGGTGGGATGTACGAGGTTGGCTCGTCATCGCAGCAGCCTCCGCAGCCTCAGCCTCAGGTTGATCTAGGGTGGAATGGTCCCACGTTGAGTTTTCCTCCTCCTACGGAGACTGGAGCTGATGTTGGCGTGGAGCTGGAGCAGGTGGAGAGGTTACTCCCCGTACTGCGGAGTTTTATGCGATGATGGGTTTACCTCCCCCGGCGCCGTAGTTTACACCTGTGATTTTTATTTATTTATTTGACTTTGTATAGAACTTTGCCTTTTAGTTAGACTCATTTTAGACATATTTTGTATGTACATACTATTATGAGTTTATTTTATTTTTCATGTTTTTTTCATTTTTTATTATTATCATTATTATGTGCATGTTTGTGTGTGCAAGAAAGTGTGACAAATAAATTTGCGCAAAAATTCCATCATTTTTATTATTGATGGAGGGTATCCGACTTTCTCCCCCAAAATGAAAAAATGAAAAAAGGAAAAGTCAAATAAAATATTGGGTTTATAAAAACCTGGAAATTAATCTAAATAAAATCCCAAAAAAATAATATAATTAATTAATAGCTATATTAATTAAAAAAAGGAATAAAAATATGGTTAGAAAAAGATAAGGAAGCCGTAAAGTCATTAGCAGACTCGAATTAAGGTAAAAACGCGGTTTTAGAAAGCGAGTACGACGAGGCAAATTGGCGCCAGCTGGCGCCACGCGTTTTGGTGTAGCGCCAGGCGCTACACTTAGTGTTTGGCGCCAAGCTTTGGCGTCAGGCGCCAATATCAGCGTCTGGCGCCAAATAGCGCTTACTCCGTATCCTTCCCAGATTAAAACTGCTCCGATTTCGTGCATAAATAGCCCCCTGCCCAGCCAATTCTTTTCATAATTTCAGCAAATAAAATAATTCTTGCTTTAGAAAAATAATATCATGTCTCTAGTCACCAAAACTTTTACCCAATACACCCATGAATTGTGTCGGTCTTTTAATGCCAAAGAAAGAAAAGAATTAGATGTGTTCCACTTGGTGGGAATTTATGGTATCAAAGTGGTAGATCTTGACTTAGAATTTATTCATACCGCTCTAGAATATTGGGATGTTGATACCCATTGCTTTAGAATAGGGTATGATGAAATTAGCCCTTTTCCGGAAGAATTTGGTGCTATTTTAGGTTTCCCTGCAATAGATCTCATAGTAATCCCTAGAATAGATGCATATTATTATAAGGATTTTGAACGCTTCTTCAATTTAAAAGAAAGGGATCTATCAAAAATAGTAGATGGCAACATAGTTAACTTAAAAGAATTTGCTCGCCATTATTTTGATAAACCTTACTACGAATCTTTTCATATATATAGAAGAAGGGCTTTCTTATTTTGTATACTTAATCACTTTTTTCTTACTAGTGGTAAAAATAATGAGGGTCAATCAATTATAACCACCGTATTAGAACAAATTGAATCAGGGAGAAATCCAATGCCATTAATAGTTGGAGAGACTATGATTGGTCTTGATGAATTGAAGAGAAATCCAAAAGCACCTTTTCGGGGCTCTCCAATTTTATTACAGGTAGAAAAATAATATTTTTAATTACAGAAATATAAAATATATTTTTGTATAGTAATAATAATTTATTTGCATTGCAATTTTTTCTTTACAGATGTGGCTAATGGAAAGGCTGGAATTAATTAGCCCTCCAGACAACATTGAAAAGTACTGTAGGGAATAATTTCAAGCCTTTAAAAATCCCACTAGCTTGAACCCCACTGTGATCATACACTAAAGTACGGTGGCGTCCAAAAGGGAAGAAGATAGAGCAAAAGAGTCGCCAACAAGTTTTTAAGGAACTTGTAAACCGTTCACGAGGTGAAGGTTACACCCCTTAACGATCCAAGAGATCGTCAACTCCATAAGGTCATGAACCAAATAAGGGTTCGGGGATGATGGTACAAATCCAACCTAAAAGAGATTGAATCTGCCCTAATAATAGGCCTCTACTTTATTCTGCTCGTATTCATGTGCGCTTTCTGATTAACATACAATCAATAGGATTAACTCTAAACCTGTTTACTCTATGTTGGTTGAATATTAATGCACAAGTAAACTATTATTGACGATCACTTGAATTTATAATCACAATTAACCTAACAAGATTATTAATTATCT